TAAATAGAAGGGGAATGTTAGGGGTATAGTCCATGTATCTACCTTGTCACCATCACAAAAACAATCTAGTGTCTAGTTGCTTGACATGTGGAACAAAAGCTTGGAAGAGAGATCAAGATGGTGCTCACCAAGGTCCTTTCAATTCTACAATTCCGTAAAACAGAAAAGCAAAATATCTTCAAAAGAAATGCTAGGGGATGTATATTAGAAAAGAAGATGACTACTTAGTCATCTTCTAATACAGACACTGTAGGGTATACTTGGCTCCCTTTACCTTCATTCTAATTTATCTGAGATCGAATTTATCTTTAGAAAGTATGAAAGGTAAAAAATAGAATAGTGGAAACCAAACTATGGGAGTATAGGTTCTCCCACAATCTCACATTAAGGGTATGAGGAAATGATGTAGCAAAGAACTAGTGAACCAACTTCAGAAAGAAAGAGATAGGGCATGAATTCCAGCAGCACTGTGAAAAACATGTGACTCAAATTTTGGAAGTGCAGGATGGTGGTCCCCAAGAGCAGAAGCTGTAACAACAAGGACTACAGAGGCACCACACAGGGCGTTACATCAAGTTACTTAGAGAATGCCGATGACATTTTGTGGGCAGTTTCTGCAGTGAGAACAGTAAGAACCTAAGTCTGCCACTGAGGTAGACAAGGAAAAGAGGATTGTCAATGACTTGTTAGTGGAATCCGTTGTAGACGACTTGATTGAGAAGTTGAATTGTAATAGAAGAAAGAAAAGCAGGACTGTAGCCAGAGTTGGCAAAACAGACCAGTGAAGATGGTCTTCGTTTCCCTTTGTAGGCAGAGAAGAAGAGAGAACTGGTGGAGAAAGAAAGATTAAGGGATAATAGTATTAGCACTGGCAACAACATATTCACTGAAACTGAATGAATTTCAGTGCTCAGCATGTAATAGCACTTCCTTTGTAGGCACTATCACTATGAGGAGTGAAATGGGAATTCTACCTGTCTCCTCAAGTTAAAGCTCCAAATGACCCTGTGATATCTGTAGGTGAGGACACTTAAGCATTGTCAAATCAGTCATGAGAATAATGGGATCAAGTAGACAGTTGAAAGTTTTAGCATTTTTCTCGTATGTTAGGGAAATAATGTGAAATTCAATATTTAAAAAATGAAAATTGGAGCAGAAGGAACTAATAAGGTAAGCAAACCTATCTGTGGAGCCAAGCTACTAAAAACATTAAAGTTGATAAATACCAAGAAGAAATTCACAGAACGCTGACATCATACCAATGAAAAACCAAGGTGGAGGGAAAGATGGTCTGGTTGCTGAAGAACAACCATCACGCCTAAGATACAGGATGATGAAATTGGCCCTGTCAGGCTGACAGACATCATAAGCAGGGGCTCATTGCTCAGGGCCTGATTCGGCCAATTTGCTGATTTAAAATTCTGTTGTCATTGGATTTGTATTGTTAGGAAATCATGTGTCACCAAAAATGAGGAATACAGGAACATACTAATGTAACCTCAATAAGACTACTGCCCAAGGCCTCTAAAGTCCTTTAAAAAATAAAACAGAACCACTCAAGCAGAGGAGGCACAAAGTCCAGTATTTTAAAATCAGTCACAGCAAATTCCTATTGGAAATTACTAAATTCCATTAAAAGTCACTTCTAGCAACATTTCCTTTAAGAGTCAACTTATTTTTAAACCTACAAAATGAATTTTAATCAAAATAGCTATTGATTCCTCAGAGGGGTTGTCCAAGTAATTGACTTTATATTTAAATAAATTTAAGATTGATGAGGAAACTCCAATAGAAAAGGTATTCTAGCTTTATTTCTATTTCAGAGGTAAACTTCGTGTCTTAGAACTGACCCAACCAAAGCAGGCTTTTCTGGGGCTATGGGAAGGGGGGACAGGAGTTCCCTTACATGTGTAGTTTGTGCAGATGGGCAATGCAATACTAGTTAATTACTCACTGCACAATCTCAGCATTTGATTTCTCTCTGCTACATCTTGTGACTACCTTAAATTTTATTTTGGTGGGAATCACTTCTTTTCAATCATATTCAGGCATGTATGCATACACACATAAGAGGTCAAGAACTACATTTTATTTTCCCCTTTTTGGATGGAAGGAGGCACAAAGCCCGCTGGATTTTAAAGGCATGCTGTTTATCACTGTCTCGGTGACCAAGGCGTGAAAGCTGTTTCTGTACCATGGAACAGCTTTCCCTTACTGACAAGCCATAGAAGGGCAGTGAAGCCACCAGCTCCAGGGTGTTTCAGCACGTCGGACAGCTCTCATCCCAGCAATGCGGGGCTGCCGAAAGACAGAGGGGCTCTGCGGCAGAGAATGCTTCAGCACGTTGGACAGCTCCCTGCCCCAACTATGGGGCCCTCCCAAACTGCTCATAGCAGTGTTTTAAAAGGTCGCGCCAACATGCAAAGAATAATGTGCAATGCATTCCTAATTGGCTGCACATCTTCTGGTTTACATCTGGGTAGCAAAATGATGGCTCTAAATTCTCTAATCTTGACAAGAGCTGGTATAAGAAAAGCAGTTTTTACATCTACTATCTTTTTAAACGGGTATCTCTTAAACAAAAGGCAGTTATTGTTCCTGAAGGAAAAGTGACTTAATATGTACAACTATCCTTTGTAAATTTTTAGACATAACTTTTCCAGTTCTCAATGGCCATTTCTGAGAAAAGCACACAAAAGTTTTCAAGAAGTTGATGCCACATTTAGCTCTGTCATTGATTTGATCAGACATTTTAAATACATATATATGTATGTATTTCATAAGGACAATATATGCATGTACACTATGTTTATGCATGTACACTGTTTATACCCACACCTACATGATAACACACACACACACACACACACTCTTCTGTATTTTTCAGGAAAAAACACTGATGTCAGGGCTTCCTGAATTTAAGTCAGATACACTTAAGTCAGAGCCACATCAGCAGAAATCATTTGCAAAAGTCAGATCCCTAATTTGTTCCCCAGTTCAACCCTTTGCTTATCTGAGAAACAGTTCTAGGCATATATCAAACTGAAAAGAAGGAACTGGAACTATATGCTCCAAACTAAGATGGAAGGGGAAAAAAGGAGAGAGATGGGTGGAGATCATCCGAAACAAAATTCAGAAACTGTTGCCTTTCCTTTCTCCTAGCGACACCTAGAGCCTGTGATAGGAAAACTGCGTTGTTCTCCAAGCATAACACAATTCCACAGTTTAAAGTCAGACTTAAGGCAAAAAGTGCATAATTTCTGTCTGCATTGCAGTTCAATTGTCTTCCCCAAGATTCTCAATAGTTTAATCCTCCAGAATTTTTCACCAACCCCAATAAAACCCCTCCTCAAAGACTTCTAGTTCCTTGAACCAGATGTCTGAAGAATCCATGCATTTCCCTTAGGACCTGACCCACTGAAGTGAGGGACAGCTCTCCGCTCACTATCTATGTAACCAGGGGAGTCTGGAAAGGATCCAAAAGAAAATAAGAAAATGTCATGCAAGATCTGATACAAGCTGTGGGGTGTGTGTGTGTGTGTGTGTGTGTGTGTGTGTGTGTACAAACTGCACTTCTCACAAACTTTCATCATCCCTGTCTTCACATCCTCCATTCATAAAACAAAAACAACCAGCAACAACAATAAAACCTCAGGGGCTTTTTTCAGAATTGTCCCTGTGAACGCTCTCAATACCCCCTCCCCCCAACCTTGCACTATTAAAGAAAAACCAAATGGTGAAGCAGTGTGACCCAAGGCAAGGAGCACAACTGTCTGCTCAGTGCAGGGACATGTACTGCCCTGGGCATGTCAGGGTAGGCTATCTGAGGTTTGTATGAGGACCTGTGCCCAGGTGCCCCCAGATAGGAAACTGCTCAAAGGTACACGCAGTGGGTTCTACAAGCCAACACAACCCTGCATATCTCTAAGGGCTCTACAGCAGCCAGGCCAGCTCTGCCTGCCAATCCGAGAGCTTGTCTGGGATTTTTCTCTTTTCCCCGGGGAAGAGAACATCTCAGCAGGCAGTTGCTTCTCTCTGTGGTCCTCCCTGGCCCTCGGAATAGCTGGAAGGGATCAACAGAGGTGGCTGGATTCATCCATCTAAGCTGCCCGCTAGTGTCCTGACTGAGTCATCAGTTACTAAGGTGATATGCAAATCCAACCTTTGAAACCCAGGCTTCCAGCCGGAAGAAGAGTAGAAAACATGCCCCCTAAGAAGTTTTCTCCTAAAGCAGGTCTAAGGTAGAGCTGCTAGTCCAAGGCTAGGCATGGGAGACAGGCAGGACCTGACTCCCATCAGCAAAAATTGTGCTGGGCCCTGGGACAGGACGCTGGGCCTCAGATGCTAGTGTTTCATGTCCCCCACCCCCACCCCGCAGCCCCCGCCCCAAAGGAAATCACCACCAACACTATCAGCACTGGAGGGGTAAGTGTCCTGGAGAGGTGAGAAGTAGAGCCCATCTGAGCAAAGGGACAGCGTGGGGGAGGCTGAGAAGGGCACAGCGCATAGATTCCATTGACGGGTGGGAAGCCTGGGATTTTTCTTCCCCAGTCTCAAAGCAGGGAAAAAGAATGAAGGAATGAAGGGAGGGAGGGAAAGGAGGGAGGGAGGGAGGGAGGGAAGGAAGGAGGGAGGGAGGGAGGGAAGGGAGGAACGTCAAGTTGTAAGCACAGGCTGAATTCTCGCCTTAGGAAGCATAACAACCTACGGTAACCACAGACATTCACACACCCAGTGACACCCCCCAGCCATCCCACATCCCAGCAGCACAACCCCACAGACGCTGCTCTCTCAAGCACCAACTCCTGGCCGCCACCGCTGCAGACCGAGACCCGCTCCGGGACGGCGGTGACCGAGATCGGCGCTGAGGAGCGAATCTGCTCCGGGGGAGGCAGAGGAGAGGAGGGGAAGGGAGGGGAGGCAGGCGGGCGACCCCGACCCTCGGAGATGCGGAGATGCGCAGCGGACGCGCCTCCCCCCACCCACCAAGATGCTCTTACGTCCTCGTCGTCACCATCGCTCCGCGCCTGGTACTGGAACCGGGGCCGGCCACCCGCGCCGCCGCCGCCTCCGCCGCGCTCCCGGGGCGCCGCCGCGGGCGCCGGGGCTCCGAGGGGCTTGGGCCCCGCGCCGTCCTCCTCCGGCCCCTGGCCGCCCAGGAGGTGGCTGGCCTCGGGGGGCGCCGGGAAGGAGCGCGAGGTGTTGATCTTGCCCGTGAACCTCTGGTACAGCGAAGCCATCGGTGCCCGCGCCCTCGCTGGCTGCCTCGGGGGCGTTCTGTGCTTTGCCTGCCCCTCTCGGGCTCCCGCTCCCCACCCCCTCCGGGGAGAGAGGGAAGAAGCAGCAGAAGAAAGGGAAGCCGGCGGCTGCCGCTCCTCCCGCGCGCCACTCTCAAGTCGCCGCCGGGCGACTGCCTGGCTCGGCTCCTCCGCCCCCTCCCCCGGCGGGCACGGTGGAGCCGGGGGTCTGGGGGTGTGAGCTCTCCCTCGCTTCTTTCCGCTTTTCTCAACTCCTCGCCACGGCCACGGACGGCCTAATCAAAGGCACTGGAGAAAGGAAAGAAAAAAAAAAAAAACCCAAAAAACATAAAGGGAGGGAAAATGCCTAGGCCCCAGAATTGGCACCACCTAGAGACCGGCGAACAGCCAGCGCGGATCTCAGCGCTCCCCCCACCCCGGCCCCTCGCGCGGCTCCTCCTCCCCCCTCCCCAGCGGCCCCTCGGCGCGGCCCGGTAATGGCGCCGGGGTGGCAGGGGGCTGGCGGCACGGGGGGGCCGCGCGGGCCGGGGGCTGGGCGGGGGCGTGCGCGCCGCGGGGCTCGGGGCGCTCGGAGCCCAGAGGTCGGTCGCACCCCCCGCTGCGCGGGAAGAGAGCGCGGAAGAGGCGGAAACCGCGGAGGGTTTGGGGGGGTACTAAGAGGGAGCAGAGCCCCGAGGGCGCCCATCCTCGGCGCGGAGCTGCGCTCTGCGTCCTCACGCTCGCACCCCGCGCAGCTGCAGCCTCGCCTCCTTCCCAGCGCTCCCCCTCGGGTTTCCCTTCCAGCTTTTCTTGCCTAACTTGCAACAACAGCCAAGACCCCTCGGGCCTGGGGGTGCTAAGTGGGGCGAGGGAGAGCGAACAGCAGGGCTGAAAAGGGAGATGGCTCAGACACACCGCTTTCTAAGGAGCCCTCCTTGCTTCCCAAACCAAGCTCGTCTCCGAAAACAGATTCATTTTCCTTTCCCCGGGCTCAAAACGAAGGGAAAAGCAAAGGTCGTGGAAGGCAAGCTAGGGAAGGCCTGGCGGAAGCCTTCCCAGCAACTCAGTGGAACGCTCCTCCCTACACTTCCCAACCCATTTGTGTACATCGCGAACTCCGTGCTCATTTTCAGTAAACAGAAGCAGAGGCTGAAGCTTTCGGGATGCCGGCAACTTCTCCAAAGCTTGCTCCGCCCCCTCAGCCCCCGACTGAGAGGAAGAGACCTGGGAGAAACCACACCAAATAGGGCGCTGGGCTCCGGGTGCGCATTCGCGCATCTTGCTGCAGTAAGACGTGCTCCAGCGCCCCTGTGTGGAAAGACACCAACATGTCTGGGCGCCCGGCTCCGACTCCAGGCGCAGGCGGCTTTCTCTCCTCCCTTTCCTGGGGTGGACTGCTCCCTCGGGCCTCCGGGAACCTCTCCCTCGTTCCCAAATCCGCTCCTCCGACTTTCTTGAGGCTCTTGGGGGCTCTTCCTTCTCGTCTCGTCCCCATATCCCCTTCCCTCTTGTTTATAGACCCTCCAGCTGGGACAGATCTGTCCCAACTTGATCTTCAGCGGAAACTAGGACCTGAAACTCTGGAGGGAGGGGACAGGCGGAGGGCTCGCATCTGCCCACACTGCTGTTCCTTCCACACCAGGTCAAAGTGGACATCTTCATCTTCACATTCTTCCCGGACACAGTGATGCTCCCTGCTCCGTCTAGCTTTCCAGGACTATTTGACTTAGGTTTAAAAAAATAAAAAGGCGAGGCCATGGCCACTCAGCAGGCCAGACTTCGGGCTCACCAGCCTTTGGTGGGTCTGTATCCAAGGCGATCTCCTGGCATCACTGCCCAAGCTGGGATATCCCCAAGAAAGATCCTACCTGGTCCTGAAATTGCCTCTTCCCACCAGTGTCCTTAACTTGGAGAAACTGGATGCTGGTGAATCAGCCTCCTGGGAGGACATAAGTTCCAGTCCCTTTCACACTCTCCCCAAGTCTCAACCCAGTGGGTAGTCTTGTTTTAATTAAAATGTATTACCACACCCATCCTCTGTTTAATCCACTGTGGTTTCCCTCCACTATGAAGAAAAATGTGATTGTTAAACTAGTTTAAAGACACGTTTCCTTTAGGCAACCGTGAAAACAAGTAAAACCAATATCCCAATAGCTAAGAGGCTCCCTGAACCAGCAAAAGGCCTCCAACATAGGCAGATGTCCCTCCCACAGGTCTGGGGGTGCAGAGAGCTTCACCAGTCCCTCTTTACTTTGAAGACAGAGGCAGCAATTACAAGAGCCATAAAATGAAACTTTAAAAGTCATCACATTTAGATAAATAGGAAACCCTGCTGTCATCCCTCCTCTCCCGCCCCAGCTATGCTTTTGATGGGAGGAAGCTGCCTTTCCCAGACCCACTTGAAAGGAAAGCTCAAGCTGCTCCCTGCAGCATCTAGGTCCTGACACCTCACTAAATATAGATGCTGTTAGGGTCTTACTTATGTAATACACATATGAAATTTGCATGTATATATTCACACAAACCATAAGAAGTAGCATTACATATTGCTTGTACTTTTTATACAAAATACAGTATATATACAGAAATAGCTTACTTATCATACCCAACGCTTTAGAGAAGTATGCATATCCACAATAATGCATTGAAACTGAGCTATGGAAGGCACGTGTGGCTCTCACTTTTAAAAAATCATTCTCAAGGGAGCTTGTGGGTATTCAAATTACATTTGGTCAGTGTCAGAAATCCTAACTAAATGATTCAGACAACACAAGCAATTTTTATTTAAAATTATTTATAAAGTGAAGAAATGATAAGACTCAAGCAACTGAAGGGAGAGTTGAGGTACACATCTGTGTTGAGAGAGAACAAATCCGAAAATTAAACAGGAGAAACGGGGGTGGGGGGTGCTCCGGCCCAGCAAGAGCCCTGAGGCAGGTGGGAGGAGAGCAGCGGGAGGTCAGCGTGCACCAAGCCTTTTCAGGGGCCTTTTCAGATGCCCCCTAGACTGAGGGCCCACTGCCTCCCTCCCAAGATTTGCTACTGTCCTCCACCTTGCACTCAGAGCACCACTCATCCTCAAGACTGTTCTAGACTCTGAGTGTGAATACACACACACGTGCTTGCACACACTTCACGTGTGTCTTAAGCATTTCTTTACAAAGGGCAGTGTTATTTTTAATATACTGTCAGGACTCGGAAGTCTCAAATGCAACAGAGTCAGCCAGTTAGTGCATTGGGCCGCGTGAGGAAATGCAGTTGCAGAAAATTGCAACTACGGCATTTTGCGTTTATGATACGTAATTAACTCACTTATTGCCTTCGATAGCTTTTTCAGACCCTTCCTTAAATAGGGGGAGAGGTTCTGAAGAGTAGCAGAACTTCCCAATGAGCATTTAAATACAGGTGCATTTCAGAAGGGCACAGGTCAAGAACCGCCTCTGCTCACCAGTCACCGAACATCCTGAATATGTTCTATCAAAATAGATTCCCACTTCTGCTTATTGGGTAAATATGGGAAACTAGTTTTTGGAAAATATTTCATGGATTATTTCATATCAAGATATTAATTCCTCAATACTGCTTAAAACTGAGTCCACTGACCCATTTTTCCATCAAGTTGCAGATGATTATTTTTCCCCTATTTATTAAATAAAGGTGTGGGTGTGTGTTTATTTTCCTTGGAACCAACTTACAAAACAAATATGGTAAGTCACTGGAATTAGGCAAATGCTGCAAAATATGGTGGATAGTCATTTTTTTAATGACAATACAGGGAACTTTGTGGTCCACATGCAAGCTAAGCATTGTAAAAATACCAAAAGTATATTGAGTTCAGCAGCCTAAGCATGGTTTTTATTAGCTAAGAGGTTTTCTTATTTCTAGGAGAGAATTATATCCTAGAGTTTACATCCTCTTTCTCTGTGAGGGAAAGGAGGAGAGCAGAGCCCTATTTGAGATTTTGATTCCTTCCAAGAGCTGAGACGTGAGAGAGGAAATGACCAGCAGCATGCGCTGTGCTAACAGAAGGATTTCCCTAAGATACTGGACACCAGAATCCTCTAGGTATAATCACCTTGTACTCATACCAAAGGGGAGAAATAAAACAAATATTTGGGTAGTTTGAGAAAATACAGTGCTAAATACATAAATACAGAGCCTATTCCCAAATAAACTCTCTCTATATGTCTATCTTTAAATTTTTTTTTTTTTTTTTTTTTTGCAGGATGCCTATCCAACAAGGATAGGAAATGTCCAGCACAAGAAAACGGAATTGCTAAGTTCTGGCTTTTGAAAAACACAAAATTAAAGTAGGTGCTGAGTTAATTTTGAGCTTTTCAAATTGGTACTTAACAATTAATGTTTTAAAGAGAAACATTTATTTTAACCCAACAAAAAGTCTTACTCTAAAATTAATAAAGTTTGCTGTTAATCTCCCCATGGCACTTTTATTTGCACTTTAAATCTCCCCAATGGCACTTTTATTTGCCATGGTGCACCTGTGTGTCTGGTACTCGGCACTGACACCTACTATGGACCACCAACCTCCCTCGCCCTGTGCCCCCAAAACCCACGAGGTTAATCGACACAAGAGGCCAAGCTGATTGCCAAGTCAGTGCAACAGCCACTGATTTACCTAAAAGGCTGTAGTCAACCTACAGAAAATACTTGTTCCAGCCCGGTGGGGGGGGGCATCCCTCCTGCCCCATAGGGGTGCTCCCTCTGGCCTCCGACACCTGAGCGCGGCGCCGCCCCCCCCCCCCCAGTCTTCATCCTTCCTTTCCTTCTTCTTGCCCTTCATTCCTGTCCTTGCTCTGGGTCAGTATCAATAGACTGTGTATATTTTTCTTCTCTACGAATTCCTTGCGGCTCTCTGAGTACTTATAAAATCTCACTTTTAATGTCAGCTTCTCCTCCAAAATTATCCAAATAATCCCTTTCCTTCCTGGAGGAGGCAGCAACCTCTGTCTTTTCACATGTCCTGATTACACAACAAGAACGTC